TGAAAAATAATTTTGTTCACAATTTTTATTATTTTAATGCATTGCATATGTTAAATATGCATATTTTTTACATGACCTGTAAGCCTATTCCGTAACTTTTTAACACCATTCGATATTGTTTATTTCACAAAAATTTCATTTGTTTGTTTTATTGTTTTTACAATAACAAATTTAAACAATATCGATAGTTTTGGGTCCAATCGGATGAAAAATAAAAAAAAAATTCGTGGATGTTGACTGGGCTTCAGATGCAGCTTATAGAAAGTCTGTAAGCGGTTACGTCTTTAAAGTTTTTGGCTGCAAAAGTTCATGATGCAGTAAAAAGCAACAGCCTGTTGCAATATCATCCAGCGAGGCACTAGGCTTGGCAATCACAGAAGCTATATGGTTTGTTAGAATATCTTGATGCTATTAAACAGGATCAACCAGTTACAATATTTGAAGACAATCGTGGTTGTATTGGTATGTCATCAACTGAAGAAAGTAAGCGAGCTAAACATATTGATATAAGCTGGTAAATTAGAACTGAAATCAATTGTTACTAAAGATCAACTGGCTGATATATTTACAAAGGCAACAGATTAAAAAGGATTTAATACACAAACTGAACTTATGGGCATATCCGAATAATAGAAACCAAGCAAACGGAAAAATTTATTTCTAGTTGAAGAAAAACTTTTACAGAAAAATTGATTTTATCTAGAATATTCGATGCTATCATTTTGTAATTCCTTTAAAATATTAAATAGCGGTCGATCAAACTCTATATGTAATAAAATATCTCTAATCCGGACAATTGATTGCAATCCGGATTGCAATCTTATAATTACTAAAAAGTCTTTAATTTTTGAAGTGTACATGTACACTGGTGGCCACAACTAAGGCGACTGAAATTGCAAACAGTAAATGACCTGTAAAATAAAGTTACAATGAACGTTTTTTCAGAAAAAAAATATTATTAATAAAAAAAAGTAATGGAAATTTTGATTTTAAATACGGCAGCACATCTAGAAAATGTGCTTCCGTAATTCCTTGCATTCTGAACCTTTGGGAAGATGTTGTGTCTGTTTGTTTGTGAAACTCTTTTGATTTTGCTATCTATGTTACTCCAACGATTTTTCTACAGGGTAAAGATCTGATGATTGTGTTGGCCATTATAAAACCCTGATTTTTGACTCCCGCAACCAATCTTTGATATGTTTTGGTGTATGTTTGGAGCTTATTGGCAAGCTGAAATATCAAAAAAACGGTATATTTTCTTCAGCGAAGGGAACCATATACCTTTCATGAAAAGGTTTTAGTAGGTCTAATAAAATTCTTCGTCAAATTGAATTATTGGTATGGTCGTGACAAAAAACAATATGTCACTTAAGATATTGCAAGACTCAAATTTTACAAAATAATTTTCGGCAAATAAATAGTCATATTCCATATCCCCATTCATATCGTTCAGTGTACGCACAGAAATTCATAAAAAAGTCGACAACAGAATCTTTTCATTGGCTTTTCAATGTAGAATGAATGTAAAATTTTAAATATTTGAAAATTTGGTTTCTTATTTATAATTGTGTGTGTGACATACTTCTTTGTAAAGCTAATTGTAAACATTTTTAATTAATGGAAACGGTAGTTCAAATAATGCATTTTAAATTTAACAACAGGTTCACTCTTACAACAATATATTTTCGTTTTGCGTTGCAATGGTTTCCTTTTAGATCTAGTGATTTTTGGGATATTTAGGATAATTTTAAACACAACATCTCAATGAACTAAGGGCTTGGGTGATAATTTTTTTTAATGAATCGCTTTATTAAAGGCTGAGAAAAAAAACTTTTTAATATTTAATGAAAACCCAAGTAAATTATTTATTTTCAGAAATCAAAATTTTACGTTTTGTACTTTATCTCATCAATATCAACAGAGTCCTTCTAATATGTACAAGCTAAATGTTTCAATCCCTTCAATAATAAATAAATGTATAACTATGATTTTTTTCTGCAGATCGTAAATTATTTATTTTCCGTTTGTACATATTAGAATCGTTCTAATATGTACAAACTAAATGTTTCAATCCCTTCAATAATAAATAAATGTATGTGGCATCCTGTCGTTAAATATAAGTAATCAGTCAATGCGACAAACGATTCCTTTTGTAACTCGATATTCGCACATATTTGCATTGTAAACCAATGCGTTCCTTCTTCGTTCTCTTTCGCCACTGTTCCCCTTACGATTTGCGTTTAATTACATTTAATTTCATTTATGTTCAAGTATTATTTAGTTTAATAATATCGTTCAATTTTGAACCACAAGCTTATTTATTTGGGAAAATAAATAAGGTAAGAATCCCATAAGTGGTGACCCCGACGTGATCTTGTGGTAATTAAAGAAAGCAAAAAACTACCGTAAGAAGAACAGTTTTAAAATTGAACATTCGACATTCCTGCAAGGCAAATGGATGACGACAGTGGCTTATCTTCGGCGCCTACAGAGAACATGGCGAATGAATTTCATTGTTGATGCTGTATCACCCGGACAATTGTGTCAAGTGAGAGACCAATCAAACAGCGAGCTAAACGATTTGCGGGTAGCAAAAGTGGAAATGGGTAAGAAGCTCGAATTTTTCTTTGCGATCACGTTCTCGATCCCGCAGTCCAACCTCAGGACGAAATCAATCTCGAAGGCGCGACAAGAGCCAAAACAACAACGGTTCTTTTGAAGAATGTTGGTACCATCGGACATATGGCCGTAAAGCGCAAAAGTGTCGAAGCCCATGTAAGCACAAACAACACCAAGCGAATGAAGTGAGGTCCAGCGAAAACAATTGACATTCGAGGCCCGTGGATAATTTCGGCGAGAATTGTTTCACGAAGGGTCAAATATTTCGCCTACAAGTAAAAGACAAATACACCAAAATGAAATTCTTAGTGGAAAGTGGCGCCGACGTCTCAATATTGCAATTGATTGCGAAATCTTTCGATATCCGTCCCACCTCTATCGTCCTATATGCAGCCAATGGGTCTCCCATAAAGATCATTGGCGAAAAACGTGTCAAATTAGATTTAGGACTCCAAAGGATTTTTACTGGTCTTTCATCATCGGTGACGTGACCACACCAATCATCGGCTCAGATTTCATTAGATATTACGACTTGCTAATCGACCTTAAACGTAATCGCCTCATCGACAACTCCAGTGGCTGCAACTCGAAGCTTACGATAGCAACGATTTCCGACATCACAGTCATGAACACATTTATTGAAAACGATTCATTTGCCGACCTTCTAATCGAATTCAGCGGCATAACCATACTTTCACCACATGGCTCGAAAACGAAATCGACAATAGCCTATCGAATCGAAACAACTTGTCAACCCGTATTTTGCCGCACACGACGACTACCACCAGCAGCTGCAAAAAAGGAATTTGAGTTTTTGGTCAAAACCAGTATATGTCAACCATCAAAAAGCAATTTGTCAACCATCAAAAAGCAATTGGTTGATGTGCAGAAGGCATTCCACCAAATCCCAATATACGAAGAGGACATACCGAAAACCGCCATAAGCACACCCTTTGGTTTGTTTGAATTTAAGTTTATGACCTTTGGTCTCATCAATGAGATTTTCCGAGGAGTCGATTTTGTTTTCCCGTACATTAATGACATCTTCGTCGCGTCGCCAACATTAGAGCAACATCGGCTACGTGATAACCATCTAGCGATCAACTTAGCCAAATGTGAAATGGGTAAAGGTGAAATAACATTTTTGGGACACCTCGTCAACAGCGAAGGTATTCGACCATTACCTGAGAAAGTTGAACACATCAAAAATTTCCCACAACCAAAAACGGCGCAACAAATAAAAAGATTTCTCGGGATGTTGAATTTTTAGAGAAAGTTTTTGCCGCATGCGAAATCCTACCAAACTATTTGACAGGAGATGGTTCCTGGGACCGTACACCCCTCGTGTGGACATCAGATACTGAAGCCGCATTTGGTCGATGTAAAGCTGAGATGGCTAACGCAGCGCTATTGGTTCATCCTGTTCCAAATGCCGATATGGTCATATTCGTTGATGCTTCTGACACAGCGGTTGAGGCTGTATTACACCAGAAAATCGTCTTTCGTTTCAAAGGATCTCTTCTCATCGACTCACGTTTATGTCAGAAACGATTCGATCAAGCCATCACTAACACGACCGTATGATGGACCGTACTTAGTTTTGAAAAGAAATTCGAAATTTTTTACTCTTCGCATTCGGAATCGCAACTCTAACGTTAGCATCGATCGACTAAAACCATTCTTCTGTGCACCATCAGACGATACTGATACAACATCAGTCAACAACGTTCACAACACCCTACGGTTTAAGATGCGGAATTGGTTACAGACGTACCGAATGTCACCGATCTCAACCCAGATAAATCCAGCTCAACGGGCAATGACAAATCGGAAGCCGCTTCGAAGAACACTACTAGCGGTAGACGGGTTAGGCTTCCAGTTCGATTTAGATGACATTTTTCACCGCGGGAAGTAATGTGGCACTCTGTCGTTACATATAAGTAATAAGTCAATGCGACAAACGATTCCTTTTGTAACTCGACATTCGCACATATTTGCAATGTAAACCAACGCGTTCCTTCTTCGTTCTCTTTCGCTGGATAAACGTTCAACAGACAACACGCGCTCGCCACTGTTCCCCTTACGATTTGCGTTTAATTACATTTTATTTCATTTAATTTCAAATATTATTTAGTTTAATAAAATCGTTTAATTTTGAACCACAAGATTATTTATTTGGGAAAATAAATAAGGTAAGAATCCCATATGTATAACTATGCATTTTTATGCAGATCGTAAATTATTTATTTTCAGAAATCAAAATTAATTAATGTTTTGTACTTTATCTCATCAATATCAACAGAATCGTTCTAATATGTACAAGCTAAATTTTTCAATCCCTTCAATAATAAATATATGTATAACGATGATTTTTTCTGCAGATTGCAAGATGCGGATGGAGGTTTTTTTGAAAAGTTCGGATCTCTTCTACGACAAAAAACTGTTATTGAAGAATCTGACCTTCAAACGTCGTTGGCTCCACTCGAAGAAGAATCTCCCGATGACGAAGACAATTTTCAATGCGAAGAAAATGTTGATGCTTCACAGGATAACGAAGAATTCGTATGTACAGCTGATCAGACGATAGACTTGGTGACAGATGAGAACATCAATGAAATTAAGGAGAGAAAGGAGGCATTTTTCGAGAAATCAGTTGGAATGAATGTAAGTACATATATATGTACATATGGGAAATTAAAAAATTCTTTTAAAATTCCATTAAAAAAATTTGAATAATTTTTTTGCTGGCACATTCATGATTTTTGGTACATAGGTTAAGAAAAATATGCTGATTCTAAATCTGTTCGCGTTCACAAATTCGGATGCTGCGCACAAAAGTTATAGCGATTTTAAATCTTGTATTTCAAATATAAATTAAATGAATATCAATTTGTTGTAATTCGCGAATTTCTTCACAAACAGTTAATCACATTTGTTTTCTTTGCATACTTGACAAATCACATTGAATTACGGTTAAATTGGCGCGAAAATCAAATAAAAGCATGAAGATATCTTAAAATAAAATAAATTAATTTTTGAATTAAAACGAAACATTTTTTGAATTTTCGATTTTTTTAGTATGATTAAGGGAATACGGGTTTGCTTTAATCTTCTAAAATATGCGACTCTTTCTTCTTCAAATTATTTTAGATGATTATTAAATATCAGTAGATTCATCTGATAAATGTTTCGACTTTAAAAATGACTAAATATATTGCACTTACAATACATAAAAATGATCAATATTAAAAAGCATGCAGTTCGCGTTTTCGTTGACATCAATTTCTTCCAATAATAATGAATTTTTCGATGTTTCATTTAACGGCCAAAGTGTGCCGCTCAATGCATTTTACTATGCAAAAACACTAAAATGACTAAAAATGGCGCAACATGCATACGATTTTTATGCGCATCCGATTTCAGAAATCTCCTATGAAAATACACAAAAGGACACCTATTTTAAAAGGATCGGTTAAGAACCGCGGATGTGCCTCCACAATCGATTTTGGATAAAATACGCATATTATTCGCGTATAGATATATTTTTGACCTATTTTCACACAGATTCGCGAATATGATAACAGAAGAATGAATGTATGTGAAATCAATTCGAAGAAAAACGCGATTATACACGCGAATTTGTCAAAATAAGTTTTTGCAGTTTTTCTTAATTTCAAGGTACCTATATCCGCCGTTTTATTGGGCGGAATTGAACATGGATGGACTCATTAGATCCGACACGTAAAAAAAATAAAATTCACGCGGGGTTCCACGGAATTTGAATGGACTTTCTTAATTTTAGACTCAAAAATGGGTTTTATATAAAAATTTACGCACCAAATTTTCGTCTTTGGAGCCCAATTGCAAAGAAGCTACGGTGAGCACATTAATGAGATTACATTAAACGAAGCAAAATCTCGAGTTCTACAATCTTATAGTTTATTCCATTATCGGGATGCGCATCCTAATTATAAGAAAAATTCAAAAAACACCGAAAATCCGGCTTCAAAATGTCAGCATCCATTTTGGGTGGATGCAGTGATTATATCGAAAAATCATACATTCGCCCATGTGACATGTTCCGAGAGTTTTTGAATTCCCATACTTTTTTAAATTCGCATATTGTGCAAAATGGTGTGCTCAATTTCGAGCGAAAGCATAGCTGTGTTCAATATATTACGAAAAAACATATGTTTCATTGGAATTTGCAATTTGTTTAACAACAAAATTAAGAAAAAATATGCTTGCTGGCTTATTAATTGCCCTGGTTTCTACCAGAAAAAGTCTAATGATACTGGAACGTGTTAAAATAAGCATTTATGGATATTTTGAGAGAAGTTGGTCCTTTCATACACAAGGGTACCATTCCCGAAAGCCTGCAGTTAGCAGCAAAGATTTCTGGTTGGTGGGTTTCAGAGGGTAGTGGCAAATGATTCAAATATAAGTGTTGATCGCACAACAATGTGTAAAATATTGTGGAGAGTAATGGAAGTCCTGGAAGACAAAGTGTGTGCAAGCTGTGGACAGCTGCAGACCAGGATCCACCCATGATGCTTTTATTTGGCATATGAGTGCAGCTAGGCAGCATTAACAAAAGAGGAAATGGTATGCAAAATAGTTGGCTTCTAGGAGACAGTGGTTACGCTTTAGAAACATTTTTGATGACGCCCTATAAACAAGTGGAGCATGGATCTTGTCAACATCGATATAATAAAGGGCACACATCTGCAAGAAACTTTATTAAAAGTATTATTGGAAATCATAAAAGTAGATTTTTTATAGATTCTATTTTGATCATATGGTGGTTGAGTTTCCAGATTGATCTCAAAAATGTTACGCGCTGTTTTTTATTTTCTTTAATTTTACTATAAAAACTAATGTAAATACTTTATTTTTTAAATAAATATTGTAAAAACACGCTAAATATTACTTCAGCGTTCTTTTTTAACTTGTACGTGCGCAGAAAAACACGTACGATCTCATTTCGTTTTCAATCCACAAGGCTATATGTGCTCGAATTATATTCCCAATATTTTTTTGGGAATTCGGAATGGAGCACACCAAATTTGGGAAAATGTTTCACATTCGAGCAAACTCGAAATGCAGCACATGGGCGATTAGAACCATATTGTCCATGGGGTATTCTGCAACTTAGTCACTGATCACATCTGCGTGCGTTGTGTAGTTTAGCCACAAATCAGGAAGGAACACAAAAAAACTCGTTGGCTTCAACACATTTTCACCCATTTTTTTACATTACCACCATCACAGCTTCCACGCACCTTATTATTTATTACCAATATTTTAAGATTTTGACAAGAACACTTCATTTTATAGATTTTTGTAATTTCCCTTATATATTACATTGATACATTTACAAAAGAGAAAAAATCAAAAAAAAAAAAAAAAACATAGATTTGCCTAAACAACTGTGACATAAAATATAAATATATTTGACATATATGCAATGGACAATTTAACCCCACTGGGTTAACGAAATCCAGTACAATGAAACGGTGAGCTCATGGTATACCCACACTTATATCTATATATATAAAAGAGCTTAGTATTAAGTGTGTGAAACGCCCAGACGAAACGGCTAAAGCTAGAAGCTTGAAATTTTGTGTGTGGGTTGTTGCTGGTGTGTAGGCGTGAGATAAGGCTGGGTTTTTGGAAATTCGAACTAGAAGGGTACGAAAAGTACTAAAATGTACCAAATATGGTACCCTTTAAATTAGGCGAACGGGAAGAGCTAGAATTCTGAAATTCGGAATGTGGGTCACTGATGGAAAGTTAGAAAGCTGTACAAAAGGGTTTTTGGACATTCGACTTATAAGTGTACTAAAAGTACTAAAAATTACTAAATTTAGTTCTAATTGTATATATTTTGAACATAATGATAGATAGAATATTGAAATTTTATATGGAATACAGGTTGGGAAGTGGTGTTGATGGAAATGCTTAAAGAAATTCGTACTTATGTATATAAAAAGTACAAAATGGTACTAAATTTGGTACTATTTGCATTTAGTTGAGTGTATAGAGATAGAATCCGGAAAATCAGAATCAGGACTACTATTGGAGCACGAGATTGAAGTAGCTTTAAAAAATCGTACTTATTTGTATAAAAAGTACAAAATGGTACTAAATTTGGTACTATTTGCATTTACTTGAGTGTATAGAGATAGAATCCGGAAAATCAGAATCAGGACTACTATTGGAGCACGAGTTTGAAGTAGCTTTAAAAAATCGTACTTATGTGTATAAAAAGTACAAAATGGTACTAAATTTGGTACTATTTGCATTTAGTTGAGTGTATAGAGATGGAATCCGGAAATCGGAATCAGGACTACTATTGGAGCACAAGATTGAAGCAGCTCTAAAAAATCGTACTTATGTGTACGAAAATTACTAAATAGTACTAAATGTGGTGCAAGTTGGATTTAGGTGAACAGATAGAGCTGGAGCCTTCAAATTGTGAAAAAATGAATGTTGAATGTAGGATAGAGGTAGTTACTTATTGGTACGAAAAGTACTATATGGTACCAAATTTAGTACAATTTGGATTTTGCTTAAACGAATGAGCTTAAACCTTGAAATTTGGAATTCTGATTACTGTTGAAGATTGAGCTATAGAGACATCTTTGGAAATTCGTATTTGTGTGTACGAAAAGTACTAAACGGCACTAAATTTGGTACAATTAGGATTTGGGTGAACGGAGAGAGCTGGAAACCTAAAATTTGGAATAATTGTTGCTGTTGGAACATACAATTGAGATATGGAAGTATAGCACTTATGTGTACTAAATGGTACTATATTTGGTACAACTTGATTATTTGAGAACGGATAGAACTGGACTCCAGAATTTTGGAATTAAAATTAGTGTTGGAGTGTAGGATTGACATAGGTTTGGAAATTTTTAATTATAGAAACAAAAAGTATTAAATGATAAAGGCTGATATTCTGAAATTTTAAATTAATATTATAGTTGGAGTGCAGAATTGAGATATGTCGGTAGTTTTGAAAATTCGTCAGCATCTGTACTAAATGGTACAACATTTGGTACAATTTTGATTAGAGTTAACGGTAGAGATAGTAAATAAAATTACAGAATTACTAAATATTACTGGTACTAAATATGGTACAATTCGTTTTGTTTGAGCGGGAATCCTAAAATTTGGAGTTAAAATTAAGGTTGGAGTGTAAGATGAGACATGGAGGTAGTTTTATCTACATATATAAAAGAGCTTATATATATATATATATAACAGAGATCATCGCTCAGACGAAACGGCTGAAGCTAGAAGAATTTTGTGTGTGGTTTGTTGTTGGTGTGTAGGCGTGAGATAAGGCTGGGTTTTTGGAAATTCGAACTATAAGGCGAACGGGAAGAGCTAGAATTCTGATATTTGGGTTTTTGGAAATTCGACCTATAAATGTACTAAAAGTACTAAATTTAGTTCTAATTGTATATATTGAACATATATAGACAAATCTTGAAATTTTATATGGAATACAGGTTGGGAAGTGGTGTTAATGTGTGGAAATAGTTTAAGATTTTCGTACTTATGTTTTTTTAAAAAGTACTAAGTGGTACTAAATTTGGTACTATTTGCTTTTAGTTGAGTGTATATAGATGGAATTCTGAAAATCGGAATTAGGA